TCTATTAATGAAAGACGCAGATAGATAGATTGATAGTTATATCACCTATAGTTCACTATACATTTAATTTGATTATTTTATAATAAATTATTAAAGACTGATATAGAAATAGTGCAGACATAGTGCATCACTTTTTATAGGATGATGGCAAACAGGAAAACCAAGTGGAGACAATGTTGGCCTGAAATTGAAAATAATCAGATTGTTTACCTCTACTTTTTTATTACTTTCAATATTCAAAATATATTAACTTTTGAGATTCTTTTCTATTCACATTTATACTGTAAGTCCCCAAAACTGAGTTCAGATTCTATTTTCTTACGTGATGTTTCAGTTAAAATGGGCTAATTGTTCAGTTTCATGCATTGTGGGGACATAAATTTCATACATTTTTTATTCAGATAATAAAGTCTCAGAGCAAATGTTTCTATGAAGGAAGGCAAGTATTCTGTACAGGAGGGTAGGAAAGTCCAAACAATAGATAGAAAGCTTTAGATGAAAGTTTATCTCTGATGAAGGATTGATAATAGCAGTTTCATTTTCAGAGAAAACAGCATTTAGCAACAATCTACAACATTTCATCCTTCATTGATAAAGAATGACACCAACGTACCATCAGGATGTGCCTCAGTCGCTGTGGTCTAAGTGCTGCAATAAGTAGAACTATCTCTACAATAGGCAGCACTCATGTGACAGAAAACATTTATTTAACCTGTGTAAAAACTTACGCTATCCATTAGACTTTTACTGATATTTGATTTGTTGCCCAAAATTTGGTTGTGCATCATATGAAGGACAATGATTTAAGTTTTCATTTGTGGCTTCCTAGTGTGGCATTAAATTATATTGAGTCGAGCCCTAAATAGATCCTTGGCCAGTTACCTTGAAAAAGCCACAAAAATCTTATGTGCATCACCTGCTTCACCCTGTGTCAACATTGTGTCTCTATCTATTAATGAATGACGCAGAGATAGATAGATAGATAGATAGATAGATAGATAGATAGATAGATAGATAGATAGATAGATAGATAGATAGATAGATAGATAGATATTGGTCTATAAGAGCCACATTCAGAGCTTTGTTCATGGGATGGAGGACAAGGGAAATAGAAGCTTCAATCACAATGAAAGAGAGCATTAAACACATTAAATAAATTGGTAATTGATGGTTTTAATGGGAACTTCTTAAAGGGCCGGGTGCTCTATTGCCTTTATCTTCTCCATGATTCAACACAAGCTCCGTCTCAGACTGTCTGAGGTTGAAGAGTTTCCCGTATCAGAGCAGCTTTTATCATCTCAGACATGTAGAGGTTTGATTAAATCGTTGATTCAAGGTCCCACCAGTCTGAGAATGATAACCAGTCCAGCCTACTGGTTTGGATTCCAGGGCTGGTCTGTAACTGGTCCTGGATCTGCTCCTAGCTGGACGAACCTGAAACACCTCAGAGAACCAAAGAAAGACTCTTAAAGCTCCAACGTTTTATTTTCATCTTTATATGAAGTAATGAGATGCTGGGATGGACCGTGGTGGGCAGCATGCAGTGAAGCACATACAGCAGGTTACTGGGAGGAAGGCTAACCGTTTAGCGCAGAGCTACCTGGTCTCCAGGGGAAACAGAGGACAGAAAACACAGAAACACGTTTAAGGACAGAGGAAACATCCTTCAGAGGACGGACAGCGAGGACACATCAGGGTCTATCTACACGTTACAGCCATCATGAACACGGGTCGCCCGACCAATCAGAGGAACCGTCCCCCTTTAAACCCACTGGGTCCACAGCAGAGTGGGTGACTGGGCTGATGCTTCATGCGAGGCGACGGAGCGGATCATGTCCCTCTGAATGCTTCCTATAAATGATTGAATAGAAACATGAGCTACAGAGTCTGAAACTTTAAAGGGAAAATCAGCAGCAAACAGCTCATAGCAAAAACAAACTTCTGCACTAAAATCTTTTTTTTACACGTTATAAAAAAAAAACTTCATCCAGATGTTACTTTGATCCATTAATGTTTTTCAATAGCATAGAATATAATCAAAGAGTTTAATTATTTCAGAAACTGAATAAACAAAGTGAAGCTTGGCTTCCTCACACTGATCTATTTAACTTTCTAAAGTTAGAACTTTTATTACAGCGAGAATAAAAATTCAGCTTCTCAGAATGTGTGGATCAGAACCGCAGGAGGGATCAGTTCTCTGCTCGGAGCTGTAGATCCATGGAAAGTTTAGTGGAAGGAAAACATGCTTTAAAGGAAAAGTCCGGTCAGTGAGGAATAATCAATGGATCAATATTTATACCTAAAACTAATACGTACGCAGCAATTTAATGAATTTAGTGTTAAGCAGTAAAAAATAAAAACAATAATTTTCCCTCCTGCCATCTTCCAGCAGTGACGTCACGGTGCGGTAAGCCTAGCGCCATTCTCCCCGCTTTACAAGCTAAATCAATGGGAACTACTAGACACATCTGCAATCAACAACAATTATTGAAGATTTCCAGAGGACTTCACCATTGAAATTCACCAGAGCTATAGTGAAACTGACAATGCCCACGTGCATGGCAGCTGGATGCTGGAATACATCGGGTAAAAGTGAAAAAAAAAGAGTTATTCCACCTTTCTGATTCCTGATCCTCCACGGACGGGTTGGTCGTTGGATCGCCAACTTGAAGAGGGAGGATTTGCCATCGAACTTCTGGCCAGAGAAAAAAACCCGTAATATGTAGCCAACATTTGGAAGAAGAATGTTTTCAAGATGACTTGGATAATAGCGCGTTGTGACAAACACCAGATACAGCACTGGGACTTGATCAACAGCCGATACCGCACCGTGACGTCACTAACCAGTAGGTGGCAGTAGTGTTCTTTGACAAACATGGATGCCTCCAGTAAAGCACATTCACATGAAAATTACTCTGAATTAAACACTGATCATTCATTGAACAGGATGGAATCATTTCATATTTAAAGAACTTTTAGAAGTTTAAATTCTGAATATGAGCGAACTTCTCCTTTAAACACAGATATCCTCCTGCGGATAAAATCCAACCTCTACTTTCTGAGAAACAGATTTTTTTTCTCTGTGAGCCTCGATAAGCAGAAAGTCGAACCGGTAACTTTTCTACCAGCTTCACTCTGATTTAGCTGAAGATCTGCTGTCCTTCATTTCACGTAAGGATCAGTTTAGCATGTGGTGTGAGAGGCAGCTGGACCAGAACCAGTAGAACCATTAGAACCAGTGCTGCTCCATTCATCTTCAGGATGACAGAGCATCTCTGTTCTCCACAGAGCCTCTAAAAACAGTATAAAGTTTATAAATTCCAAAAGCGATGGAACAGAACCATACGGCCTCCTCAGGTCCGATCGGATCATAACGTTTAGATCTAAACCATCAGCCTCAGAGCTGCTGATAGAAACCAGGAAGCTGTTTCTTCTTCTGCTGTTTTTATCTAAAAAAGGTTTAAAAAAGCTGAAGCTTCTCGGTGGAACCGCCTGGTTTATAGGATCCAGGAAGCAGCTGGAAGAGCCACTGAAACGGGTTCAACCGATGATCAGAACCAGAACCAGAACCGATCTGAAGTTCCTCTCAGGGTTTACAGCAGGAGCAGCTGAGTAACTCTGGATCTAAAGTGTTTTAATAAATAAAACGTGATCAGAACAGAGGTTCTGATCCATCTTATCAGCAGAACCCTACCCTGAAGAACAGAACATGGAGATCGGTCCTGCTGCTGGTTTGACTGGTTTTACATTGTTTGTTTTAAATGGCGGACTCTAATTGGTTTTAGCCCGACCCAATCGGACCTCTGAGGTTCTGATACGAGCTGAACCCGTCTTTGGACTGCTGGCGTTCATGTTCAGAACCACCAATTGAAACCCAAACTCCATCTGGACCTTTATTCCTATCAATGAATGAGAAGATAAAGGTCCAAATGGAGCAGAAAGTTCTGCCTCGCTGCTTCAGAACCGCTGGAACCGAAGACGTTGGTCTCTACTGGATCACTACCAGAACATCCTTTGTATCAGGAAATGACATCAGAGCCAAACTGAGCCATCAGAGGCTAATGATGGCGCACTGACAGCTGAGGCCTGCAGGGGTCACTGTGGAGAAAACATGAAAGAATCAACATTTCTGTTCCACTGGATGTAGAAGAAGAGCTGGCACCTCCTGCTGGACGCAGCCGGTCAATCTATCTGATAAAAGCAGTTCATCTCTGCCTGGTGACGGCTCCTCTATGTTGCCATGGTAACGCAGGTTAGAAGGGAACCATGTTTGTGACGCTAAACTGAACCTGATGTTTCCAGAACCGGTTAGAACTCTTCAGCCTTTAGCCAGGAGGTCAAACAGGAAGTGAGTAACTACAGCAGGCGGGTCAGAACTCCTGATCCGACACCAGAACCAGGAAATGTTCAGTATGGAGTCAGAAAAGGGTCAAAATGTTTGTCAGCTTAGAGTTAAAACAGAAAAAAATAGAAGTTGATATTTAATGTCAAATTTTCATCTTTTGAGAAACTAAAAAAGCAAACATAAAAAAATAATGATTGAATCTAGATTTAGTTTGATATTTTAATTACACTTTATTTCCAGTTTAAATGTCTTGAATGTGATATTTTTTAATAGGATTTTGCCAAGAAGGCCAATAAATGCTGCAGAGAAACTGTTAACTCAGTTGGAGTTCCCACAGTCCTTGAATGCAACATGGAACAGGACATCTCTCCAGCGCTGCTGCAAGCTGTCAATCATGTTTCTTATTATTTTATGTTTGCTTTTTTATTTTCTCAGATTATAATTTAAAAATTTCAAATTTGTAAGTTTAGAAACATTTTGACGCCTTTCCCTTTATGACTCTAAAAACTGGCCACGCCCACCAACTGGCCGGCAAATCAGAAGAGAGCTTTATAATCCCACATTGATCGGTTTCAGAACCTCCCAGTCAGGCCGGTTCTGTTTGAAACCCAGAGAAGAATCCGGTCCTGAGGTCCAGATCCTCCTTTCCTCAGACCTCCTCTCCACGCGGCCTGCAGCGCCTCCTGCTGAGCTCACAGAGGAGATGCAGCTGCAGGATCTCCTCTGTGACCCGCAGTCCGGTTCTGTCCGCTTCTCCTCGGATGTCTGTGATCAGAACCGGGTCAGCCCGTCCGGCTCTGAGGTGGCGGTCGCCGTGGTTCCGCCTCCGACCAGAAACACGGCCATGCTGGACTTGGACTGGTTGATTCTGGGCACGCCGGCGCCTCCTGCTCTGTTTGGACCGCCGCTGTCCCGGAAGTCGAACTCCAGGTCCAGGTCGTGTTCTGAGGAGACCACCCAGGAGGCGGGGCGCCACTTCTTCAGGGTGTAGGGCGTCTTCACCCGCCGCTTGATCTTCTCTCCGCTGGCGCTCAGGCTGCCAAGGTCCATCAGAGAGGCGTCATCTGGAACGAGACCACAGACCGTCAGGTCCTGCAGGACCTGGACACCAGAACCAGAACCAGAGCCGCCCGGGCGACAAGCTGCACAGAAAACCCAGAACCATTAGACATGGACCCACCTGAGGAGACGCAGGAGGAGGACAGGTCCAGGGAACAGGGCCGCTCCGGCCGCCTGGTTCTGGTCTGTCGGAGTGGCGCCACCAGCAGACCCGCTGTTTGAGGTTCTGCAGGTTCTGCTGGGTCCGGATCCAGAGCCTTGGCTTCCAAGGCGGATACGTCCAGAGGTGGAGATGATTGGTTCTGAAGAACTCTGGATGGTTCTGATGTCTGGACTTTGGACCTGGAGGCTCCAGAACCTGGGTTCTGGTTCTGTAGGCCTCCTTCTGCTTCTGTCTGATCTGGACCTTCATCTCCGTCAGCAGGACAGATGGACGGTGGTTCTGGTCCAGAATGCAGAACTTTCTGCTTGGTCCCTGATGCTGTAGGTCCGCTAAGCGGTTCCGGCTCAGGGAGCTCCGGACCGACGGCGGCTCGGTTGTTGTTGTTGTTGGAGTTGGATCCTGGTCCTGCTGGGCCCGGCGGGCCGGGAGGATGAGGATGAGGAGGGTCGCTCTCAGCAGGAAGCTGCTCTCTCCTCAGCAGAGGTTCATGTTCATCAGGACTGAAGGTCAGGTCCACACTGTCTGCTCCTCCTTCCCTTCCTCCTCCCTCCTCCTCTTCCTCCTTGGGTCCTGCAGGGTTGCTTCTTCCTCCTCCTCTCATCCTATTGGTCACCAGAACAGGAACCCCTGAGTTGTGGCCAGCGGCAGCACCGAGCTCCTCCGACCCGATGGTGGCGCCGCTCCTCAGGTTAGTTACCGTGGTAACCAGGTGTGGCTCTGCAGACGGGATGATGGCGTTCATCTTAGCCACTCCGGTCTCCACCTGCAACACAGAACATCCTGGTTACCGGGTCACTGGCTGAGAGCCAATCACTGAGCTTGACTCTGTGATGATGTCAGATTTAGGTTCATCATCTGCTGCCTGGTTCTGATCTTTGACTGGTTACATAAAGTTTTCTCTGGTTCTAATGAACCTGATGATTCTGTCTGGTTCTGATGGTTCTGTTCTACCTGTCGGTGGTTGGACCTGAACCTCCCCGCCTTCACTCGGGTCTCTCTGGGTTTGGGGAGCAGCTGGAGGCTGGTGGGCCTCTGGGGAAGGTTCTGCTGCTGTATAGAGGATGAAGGTTCTGGTTCTTCTGGACGGGTCGCCTGCAGAACCAACAGAGCTTATGTTAAAGCCTTTAGAGACGGAACCCTCAGGTTCTGGATGTTCTGCAGAACTTTCACCTCCACACTGTGGTTCAGGGTGGAGGTCTGTGGTACCGATCCAAAGCGCTTCTGGGAATGTTCCACCAGGTTCTCCTGGGAGGGTTCTCTCAGGTTCTTCTGGACCTGCAGACACAGATGTTTCCAGATGTTGGTCTGGTGAGGAAGAGGAGGAGCAGAGGATGAGGAGGAGGGTGCAACCTGTTGGGAATCCATCTTGGAGGCGTCCAGGTCTTCCTCTGTGAGCTGCAGGCAGACAGCAGCAGCAGCGCCCCCTGCAGGATGGAGGCACAGTTAGAGCTGCTGCAGGGAGGATGCTTTCATTTTAACATAGCTTAGCTAGCCTAGCTTAGCATAGCTAGACTAGCATAGCATAGGTAGCCTAGCGTAGCATTGCTAACCTAGTATAGCATTGCTAGCCTAATATGGCGTTGCTGGCCTAGCATAGGGCTGCTAGCCTAGCCTAGCATAGCTAACCTATTGTAGCGTTGCAAGCCTAGCTCAATGTGCGTCTAGCCTAGTGTAGCGGTGCTAGCCTAGCACAGCATATGTAGCATAGCATTGCTAGCATAGTTACCTCTGTGGTCAGAGATGCTGTAGCCTGATGGGGGCGGGCGAGCCAGAGTCTATTCAGAAAGAGATAGAGAGAGGGGGCGGAGTCAGGGAGGTTTCTGTCTAAGGTCCGTATCTAACGGGTCAGAATCAGAACCTCCACCTGCTGCCGCTGCTGGTTGATGCAGTTGCTGTTCTTCTCTCCACCTTCTGCTCTGGCGTGACCGTCGCCGTGGAGATTTTTAACCACGCCCACCTGAAGATCCTCAATGTAGGAGGAGACGGAGCTAATCTGAGGCGTCCAGCAGCTGTGAGTCAGATTCCTGAAAAACCCGCAACAAATCGACCAATCAGAGAACAGAAGGTCCTCATGATGTCATGATGATGTAATAACACCTTTAACCACGGCCTGCTGCTGACCCATAATAACTGGTGGATGGCGCTACCTGTGGTTGTGCAGCGCGGTCTGAGGGCTCAGCAGGATGAGGTCGGCCAGCCGCTCCTCAGCGCACTGCGCCGTCAGTCGGGCCTCGGCGTCATGGTCCCAGCAGTCCTCCATGGTCTCCTTCAGCGCCCGCAGGGCCTAAAACACAACCAGGGTTCCATCAGCTGCAGCTTAAGGCAGAACTAAAGCAGAGGTTCCGATTGGTCGGCCAGGAGCCAATAGGAACGCAGAGGGACTCTGACCAGGCTGTTCTCCTTCCAGACTTCAGGGAATCTGGGTCGGTGTTTCTCACGGACCACCAGGATCTGCATGTCCTCAAAGGTGGGATGGTTCCCCACCTCCTCCTGGAAGGCCAACTGGTAATCCGGGACGGCGTCACCTGAACGGGAAGCACAGGTGAGGCTGAGCGCCGCGCGGTCGGCCTGGAGGTAGCGCTGGGGGCGGGGCCTACCTGGGAACAGGTCGGAGCACCTCCTGAAGCTCTCCCAGAGCAGCAGACCCAGAGCATAAACATCCACCTGCTTCAGAGCCGACTCGCAGTCTCTGAGGTTCAGAGCTCCTCCCAGAACCTCCGGGGACATGTACCGGACTGTCCCCACCTACAAAACACAACCGGTTAGCTCCGCCCACTTTAACTAACCTCCTCCCGTTAGACCCAGCGGCGCTGGGAGCGGACCTCGGATATGGCCACGGTCTCGTCGTCTCCGGGCCGGCAGCTTCTGGTTCCCGTCAGCTTCATGGACAGGCCGAAGTCGGCCAGGACGCAGGACAGGTCGGATCGGACCAGGACGTTCCTGCTGGTCAGGTCTCTGTGGGCCACGGGGGGTTTGTACTGGTCTGAGTGGGAACAGAAGAGTTCTGGGGTCAGTTTAGAACCAGCTGGACTCTAACAGGAAAACTAAACATCATCATCATCATTTAAAGACAGAGCTACGACTTTATTGACAAAACATTCAATAAATAAAATAACACTGATCATCCAGTGGTGGAGAATTTAAGTATTTTTAACTGAAAAAATGTATTGTTATATAATGTATATAACATATAATATTGAATACATTATATGTTATATGACTTTTTTGATAAAGTTTATAGTTCAGGTTATCCTGATCTATCTCTATAGTTCTGCTGCTATAGGCTTAGACTGCTGGAGGACATAGGGACCCCTTTTTCATCATTCTGCTTCATTCTATCTCCTGTCATCCTGTCCTCCTCTGCATCCGTCTCTGTCGTCTCCCACTGACTGATGTCTGCCTTCAGCACCGTGAAAACACTGACGGTTCATCCGCTGACCGCCGTGCTGTCCCTGATGCTCCTCACAGAGATTCATCCGCCGCAGACAATAGTCCCGAACCGTCTGTGGGCTGAAGGAAGGACCAGCTGGTTCAGGTCTTACCTCCTCTGCAGAGTTCGGTGTGCAGGAAGGCGAGTCCCCTGGTGACGCCGTGGGCCATCCTGCAGCAGGTCAGCCAGTCCACCGTGTTCTCCGACAGGTACTGAGACAGGCAGCCCTGAGACACATCAGCATCGTACAGATGTTACAGCAGCTGCTCGCAAACTGCCTGAATCTGAACTTTTCATCCTGTTCTCCAACAGCATCACTGAGAGAAACATCTTGGTTCAGTCCTGCTTTGTTCACTCTGAGGGTTAAAACTAACCGACCAATCAGAGCACAGTACCTTCATTGTCCTTTATAGAGCCCTATATAGTGGTTACGCCATTTAAAATGAGTGTTCTAACATCTAGTGGACTTAAAATTTCCAACAATGCACAGTGAAAAGTAGTGATCATCCATGGTCACTGGATGAGTAGATATATCTCATAATGCTTTTATAAGATTTGTTGTCACAGCAGGCGACAAAGAACAAAGATGGTGCATGCGCTGTGCAGAGAGGCGGAGTCAAGTGACCAACGGGGAGCGGAAAGTATTATGAAAGGTCAGTTAACTGAGATCTAGGGGTTAGAGCGACATTCAAACACAGCCACAGTGATATAAAATCTTATCAGTAATTCAGTTTAGATGTCAGAGGAAGCTTTAAAAGATCCGAACTGATCAGGATTTTATTTTCTATCTCTACAGGAACAGAAATTCATCCACAGCAGGTTTTTAGTTTGAGGTAAATAAAATCTGCCAATAATTTCTGGATGTTTTCCCAGAAAGCTGTGGACTGTTTCTGATCTCACTACATGAAGAGACTTTTATTTTAAGATAAGTTCTATATTTGTCTCTCCTCCTGACTGTACTGGTTTAGTGTGACGCGCTCCATGGCACACTTTTTTAAATATATTTTATATATTATTGTTTTATGAAGCTCTCAGGTTCCTCCATGTTATTTCACAGAATAATGAACTGTTTCAGGTGTTTGGTTATCTGGGTCAGGAGAAAATGATTGTTTTAGTTCGTCTCTTAACAATGAGACCAATAAAAGTTTAAACTGAACAAGTTCCAGGAACCATCATGGGGTTCCTGTAGGATCAATACTGGACCAGTAGGTGTTGCTGTGGTCGTCATCATCCTCAGCCCTAGCCCTTCCTGGGTTCTTCTCAAGAACAGACTTGGCGAGGAAACGAGTCCGTGCTCGTATTCTAGTGAATTGAGAAGCGGCCATTTTCAGGCTGTTTTTTTTTTTTATTCAATCTCAGGTTTAGTTCTTGAAAAATATCTGGATTCATGAACTCTGACCAATCTGGATTAGTTAGATTTTATGGGGCCGTGTTTTCTCCATGAAAGCATGGGTTCTCTCTGGGTACTCCTGCTTCCTCCCACAATCCAAAAACATAATGGCCTTGATGGCCCTGTGGGAATGTGTTTTCATGTATTTCATGCTTTCTATGAACCCTCCTCTCAATGGCCGTTCTGTGTTTCCTCACAGCCTGGAGGTTTGAACCGTTTTATTTCCACAACATTCTGACTTCTTTAAAGCTTTATCAGTTTTATAGAAAAACAAACATCAGGAGGAAACTCTGAGCATCTATAAATGTTCTCTTCTCTGCAGAGCCAGGATGGTGGCTCCCTGTGATGTTTAAAATGGCCGCACAGTGAGGCTGTCTGCAGCGAGCAGTTCCACGGTTTAACTCCAGGGGGCGGGGCCTTTCTGCATGGAGTTACATGCTTTATTCACGCTTTTTTTTTTTTTTATGAACCCATAAAGCAGCTTTCTAGTCATTCTGCACAGATTCATTTTAAGCTGCACACTTCTATACTGCAAAGAAAATCTAGAAATAAGTAAAAATGTCTTAAATTAAGTGCATTTATCCTTAATTTGAGTAGATAAGATGATTTACCAATAGAATGAGTGTTTTTATACTGAAAATAAGATAATTAGATAATATGTACTTGAAATAAGACAATGCAATTGTAAGAAAAATAAATTATTCCATTAGGAAAGCGTCTCATTTACTTCCTCAGTTCAAGATAAAATGCACTAATTTCAAAAAAGTGACTTATTGAGATTTGCCACCATTGGACTGCTGCTCCCTCTGAGCTACAGTCAGACACCATCGTGACCTGCTGTCCCTGTTCACTGCAAAAAAACCAAACAAACTCAGGTAATCTGCCATCTGTGATGAATACAGTGATGGTTGTTTCTATGCTCCACCCACTGATCCTGTTGTTTATGGTCTAACAGCAGATTTCATCAGAGGGTTTACTGCTGCATGTTTGGCTGCTCCTGTGTTTGTTTCCTACAGTCTGGCTTTAAACAGGCTCTTTAATGAACGTCCCACGGCTGCAAAGGAATGCATAAAAACAGCGCTGACGTCACGCTGCCTCAGAGCGCGTCAGCGCTGTTTTTATGCATTCCTTTGCAGCCGACAGAGATCAGAAACAGGAAGCTATCTGAATGTTTCTGACCAGAGGAGCTGATAACAGCCATTTAATGGTGCTGTTCAGGCTCAGGCTGCAGGAATGACTGGCATCTATAAATCTGCACAAAGTGTTAAACTCCGCCTCTGTTAACGTAGAAAAACAGCTGCAGCTGCTTATAAATGATTTACAGGAATTATTATTCAGGTTTATCTTTACAAACATTACATGAGATTTATTTATCTGTGTTTATCTCTCAGACGTCCAAATGAACGGGTCCAGTCCGGTCCAGGTCCGGGTTTTATTTCTATTCCTGCTTTAACAACAGACCTCACAATGACAGGAAAACAAGTTTGTGTGTGAGAGGCTGCAGCAGGAAACAGACATGAAGGCTCCGTCTGCCAGCAGGAAGCCTGCAGGAACAGATCCTTTATATAATAACCTGACCACAGCGCCCCCTACAGGCCACAGCGCCCCCTAAAGGCCACAGCGCCCCCTACATGCCACAGCGCCCCCCACAGGCCACAGCGCCCCCCACAGGCCACAGCGCCCCCCACAGGCCACATCAGGGATTTATTCTATCCTGATTAAAACATGGAAATTATAAAATCTTATTAGCACCAGTGATTCCATAGCCTTCATACTGGATCCAGCTGGAGATCAAACTCCTTATACTGGTTCCAGTTCATCGAAATGTTTTGACTGTTCTGATCATAAATGCACTGCAAAAACGATCTAATTATATTAATTATATTTACTCTTAATTTGAGTAGATAAATGAGATGATATGCCAATGAATGAGGGTTTCTACTCTTAAAATAAGATAATTAGATAAAATAATACAATGCAAATGTTCTTTCTTATTTCAAATAAGAATGTTAAAACAAACCAACTTTATCCCATTTTAATTACTGGTTTTGGTGAAATAAATTTTAAAAAGTTCTATTTAAGGGAGATTTTGTAAGTTTTTACTGAAAAACATCCTTTTTATTTGACCCTTTAGAACTAAACCTGTTTGATGGTCAGACTGACGCCTCAGTAGTTCTGCATTGATGCATCTATCAGCCTGTTGCCTATTTTCATGAGTTTACTTCGGGTTAGAAATTGCCGTTCATTTCCACGGACCTGACATTACGTCAAGATGGATTCTGTGGAAACTCAGAAGCATCCGCTGTAGGTACCAGATCAGCTCGAGGCCCCGCCCCTTCATGTTAGGTCATTATATGGCAACTCCACTCAGACAAACTATATTGCACCCGTTTATTAAAAATCAAATGGAGTCTAAACATATTATATATTTGCTATTATTTTCCATTTCATCTTTGATCTAAATTAGCAGAAAGTAGAAAACAATCATTGTCAGTCTGGAAGGAAAGTTTTACGTTCTAAGACAGACGGAGCTCTGCAAGGAGACAAAAAAAGTCTCAGCAAATTTTTATTCTTTTTATTAAGATCTGAGGTCAGAGGACAAATGGAACATCTTAAAAAATTACTTTCTTAGAGATTTTAGACAAATAAAACAGTTATTCTACTTGGAGAAAACAAACGGTTGTTGTTGACACGGATTTAAAAGTAGCATAGCTTAATCAGGCTAACTGAGCAAGCTAAAGAGGCTAACCTGTTAGCTACTGCTAGCCACAGCGCTACCTCTTTATATCACGGTCTAACAGTTACTTTGTTCACCTGATCAGATTTTTTTTTTTCAGTTTTGTTATCGATCAGGTAAAACTTCATCAGTCACTAGACACGCTCGACACACACTGCGTGATGTTATTATCGTTGTCAGGGCAACCACTATGTTTATGTGGCAACCTTCAGTCAATCCTGTAGCGTAACGTCACTGATAGGAAGCAGATCTGGTTCCTTCAGCAGCATCCAGCTGAACTCAGACACCATCGAAAACTCATGGTAAGGTGAAAAAAGTCAGAAATAAACTATTAGGACGAGCAGAATAGAGCTGCAGTTCTGTCTTTTGGTCACAGGTGGCAGCATCATTAGAAAACTCCAGAATGTCTCTTTTAAATTCATGTTTAAATTCAGTTAATTGTCTTTAATGAATCTGATCCTGAAGATTTAAAAACTACATTAACTCTTTTATATCTAAACCGACTGTTTTCTGGTTAAATGTTCCTGATCTGTGGATCTGTGTCTCCGTTCTCTAACTCACGTGAGGGTAGAACTCCATGAGGATCAGGAACTCTGGCCGGCCGTCGCCGGTCGCCCTCTCCTGGGCAGCCAGGAAGTGCGCCACGTTGTCGTGCTGCTGCAGCAGAGGCAGGCGGTAGATGGAGCGCTCGCTGGAGAAGTTCGCCCGGTTAGCAGAGCTGAAGACTTTAACGGCCACGCAGCGCTCATTTAGAGCGCCGCGGAACACGGCGCCGTAACGGCCTCGACCAATCAGCTGCCACAGAGCAGGAAGGAGAAGGTCATTAAGAAAAGACTTTAATAATCTGATCTGTTGATGAAAAGAATGACTCGACATCAACACAGTCCAGGAACAGGAAGCCAGGATTGTTTAGATGGAGAATGAATGGAACCATGAGGAGGAGGAATAATGAGGGGAAATACCTCCAGCAGCTTCAGGCTGTCCAGGTCCACGGCTGGTTCAGGGCTCGCCGCCTCCATGGCGCTCACAGCAGACAGGCTGCGTTTCTGCTGCCCTGGATCCAAAGACAGGAGGAGGTCAGTTAGCTGCAGGACGACTGAACATTAGCATCGCATTCAGCTACAATCAGCAGAGATGATCCAACACAAACCCAACAAAACATCAGTTTATATCGATTTTGATGTTAATTAAAATAAATAAAACTGTTTTTCTTTTCCTAAATTGATTTAAATTGATTAAAATCAGGGTCAAATCTTTTTACAGACGTTTCTCCGTGGCTCTACCTTCCTTATACCTCGTCCAAAACACTCAGGTTATCCTGAGCTATCTCTATAGTTCTGCTGCTATAGGCTTAGACTGCTGGAGGACATAGGGACCCCTTTTTCATCATTCTGCTTCATTCTATCTCTATTCTCCCACTCTGCAGAATCTGTTAGTTCAATCTCTAACGTTCTGCTCTCTCTGCTTTTTCTCATAGTAGCTTCATCTGGTCTGTTCCTGTTTGGCTGTGACTCCATCCTGGAGAGAAATATCAGCTGTGCTGCTGCCATCAACACCTTTGTTTCTAGATGTTGTAGCTTGGCCTGTTTTCCAGTGTAGTCCTGTTTCTCTGACTGTGACTAACTGGATGTGCTCTCTTCATCCTCTGACATGGGAGCTGGCTCGGAGCTCGTCTGCCTGGCTGTGTGTTTCCTGGACGGGGCCGCCTGTGGAGCTGGTTGACAGTTGCCTTTTGTATCTATGCTTCTTTTTCTATGTCTGCTTCTGTCTCCTTGAACCCCAGTGGGCCTCAGCAGATGGCCGCTCACACTGAGCCTGGTTCTGCTGGAGGTTTCTTCCTGTTCAAAGGGAGTTTTTCCTCTCCACTGTCGCTACAAGCATGCTTGGTGTGAGGGATTGCTGAAGAGTCAATGAGTCGATGCAATCAGCTGGTTTTCCTTAGATAGAAAACTTTGAATCAATCTGACTGGATGATCTAGTTGAATCATCTCTATGAAGTGACCTGAGATGACATGATGTGAACTGAATAGATTCTGAGACAAATTGGAACTAAAGTCTATTGTTTATATCTGATCACTTTTTTATGTTGTTTTTATTGCACAGAAAGGACCTTTATTTTAGCATAAAGATTATTCATCTCTATTCCTGCAAACATTTTTCTTGTTAATTATAAAAAAAATGTTTGTGTGTTTGTTACTTTTTATCATCCGGTATCCCAGGAAAAGCGCAATGATGAGAAGAGCTGCTATAGCAACAGTTACCAAGGCAACCAGAACCGCCTCCTTAGCCGTCAGCCGACGATCTGTGGAAAGACGACAGAGTTGATCAGGAGAATCAGTTCAGGACGTGTTCAGGTGTGCAGGAGTCATGGAAACCTGAAGGACAGAAGGACTGAATGAAACTAATAATGTCTCAGTTTAGGTCAAAGGTCATGGAAAGATAGAACAGATCAAACCCCTTTATTAAAAATCTGCTTTTGTTTTACCTTTAAAATAAAATAAAACTTTATCTCTAAGCAGCTTTAATGATGGACAGAACAGTAGAAGGAAACTAATTTTATCTTTAACTAAAAATGATTTTTGTGATACTGGTTTATTTAGCATTTCTCCTGCTTTAACAAATAACCAACCTCTTTATAATTATGAGAATAAATAGAATAAATAAAGTAAAGCTTCTCAGCTTACAGGTAAATAAACTCAGAGAAAGTTATGATTCTGTGTTAGAAGGTCTAGAAAATTAATCTTTATTTTTCAAAGAAATTATCTTTAAATTCCACTTTTATTTTTCTAACTACATACTTAATAAATCAATATTTATTGTGTAGAAATGTCTTCCTCAGTTTTATTATTAAAAAACAAAGAATCAGAACTTTCCTACAGTTGAATGAGTCTCAGCTAATCTGCCCGACGACAGGCAGCGACGGACGCTGTGATTGGCCGGGACGCAGCTCACCTGTGTGACCGAGGCCGAGGTCGTTCCTCATGGGCTTCAGGGCGGGCGTGTCGGCGGTGGGCGGAGCTTCAGTGTAGTTGGCGTTGCAGAGGTCGTGGCTGCAGCAGCAGAAACGGTAGCTGGCTTTCTGCATCTGGGATCTAGTCACCAGGATGCAGCGCTCTCCAACACACTCCTGATGGTTCCCCGTGTGCATCCAACAGCCTGCAGGGAGACGGAGGAAAAATGGCCCAATCGTTCCTCATCAGTCAGACGATAAACTCAGACCAGTTTCAGGATGAATGTGACGTCATGAAGGTTTAAAAGTCAGAAGCTGATCAGGAAAGATTAAAGAAATGCAGAGAAACAGAACGACTGCTTAGAAACCAGGAGATCTAATCTGACATTCAGCCGCAGACGAAGGCAGATGTTAGCGTATTTCAGGTCTGTGCTACAAACTGCAGGCAGCAGGATAATAAAAGCCAACATATTCTGTCTACATTTCTACATTTGAAGTTAATTTAGGCGTTAATAAACTGTTTCAGAGGAGTGATCATAACGCTCTGCATCAGCAGTGCTGCGTCTGACTCCCTGCCAGCTCCCAGATCAGCTTCTCTGATTGGTTGATGTCCAGCAGCTGCTGCTCGTGGATCAAGGAGTTTCTTTACACTTGATCTTGGACTTTTCTTTGTTTTCACAACAATGCTGGGAGTTCTCCACTCACTGACCTCCATGGCTTCAGCTTGTTGTCCAACGTCACACAGGTACAGAGACGTGATCCTGGTCAGGTGATGGCATTATGGTAAATATACATAGAAAAGCTATATTTACTAAAAATAACTGAGGTAAACCAAGCTTTACTGATAAAATAACAAATATTATACCAGCAGGACACAATAATTTGTCACCAAAGCCTTGAATGCAACCAGGCAAAAATATTGGCTTTAAAATGGCGTCAGATGTAGGTGTTTGCCCTGAAATTGGAGGGTTAACAGTTCGAGCCCCGGCTCTGGCTTTCAGTGCCGTTGGACAAGACACTTCACCCTCATTGCCATCTGTCAGATGGTGGCGCCAGCGTACGGCTTCTGTCAGTGAGCCCCAGGGGTTTAAATAATAATCATTTTGTATCGATGCATCGATCCAACAGCTGACGATCCGATGCATCGATTCGTCCTCAAGATAATCGATTCATGTTTTTTTCCTCCGGTCTATTTTTATCCATTTGCTCCTGGACGTAATTCTCCTCCCGTGCTGCGGTGGCGCTAAACCTATTTTGCCCTCCTACCTCGCTTCCTGGTCATACTCTTACAGCAGTGTGTCGCAGTGAGGTTGATGCAGACATTTTTAAATTATGCTCAATATTGAAGCGTGGTCTGCGCTACACGCTGTGGGTCTAGATACGGCCGAGGCGGCGAGGAAGTGGGGGCGAGTTTAGTCCGACGACGGAGGGACATGAGGGCCAAAAAGAGCGGAGATCCAGGTGGAAAAAGGGTCCCAGCGTTCTCGCGCACCTCGCTCTTCTAGCGGGTCAAACTTCACGAGTTGTTTTCCGCAATTTAGGTCATAAAAACAAAACAAGCCGGCCTCCTGTCTGCGGTCAGCTACAATTAGGGAGAGGAGCAGCGGAACGTCTGAGGAGGGGGCGGGACGTCTGGAGCCGAGGTATTGCATTGAACTCATTGCACTGATATTGTGCAGTATTTTTTGATGCAACTTTTCTACTTCGGTTATTTGCTGTTGCTTCAAAAAAAAAATGCATAACGATATTACAGCTTTCATTGATTTATTTCAAACTTGAAACTTTGTTTAGCCTGTAAGGTGTAAAAAATAAATAAAATAAAATAAAAAATTAACCGATTAATCGTAAATAATCAAATCGTTGGGTCAGGAAATTGATACTGAACTGAATCGCCATGATGTGTTAAAGGTTTAAGGGGTGTGAATACTTTCAGGGCGCTCTGGGAAGGAATCAGAGGCTGAGTGGAACGACCTGGAAGTTCCTGAGCAGCAGCACAGATTCCAGCTCCTTTATTAACTGCTCTGTTTCCTCCACAGGAACACTGGAGCTTCCTGAATGACAGGAAATCAGATTAGGCCGTCCCATAATCCCTCCTGATGTGAGGAAAGCTGAGGTCAGACGGACGGAAGCTGCAGCTGCTTCATTTCCAGCAGAATAACCAAGTTTATTCACAGCAGCAGCTGAAGAGTAAAGACTGAGAAGAAGGACGGATGGAGTCCTGTCAGCTCAGCATACGGCGTCAGGCCAGCATACCCTCAGGATTACAGAGCCTCCTCCGTTCTCCTTACAGCCAATCACAGCGGTTTATTTCCTGATTCAGTCGTTTTTGTCGTAGTTTTGTTGTAAAACAACAAAAAGTCCTTCACTAGGTCCACTTCACACATTAGCTTTAGAAAAAGAAAACATTGCATCTCTGTTAGACGAGCAACTTATTAAAGATAATCTGCATTTTTTCACAGAGAATTTAATATTTATAGGGAGAGGATTCTACATTATTTGGTTTTGGTTTGTTTAATATGAGCGAGATGCGGATAATTTTATTTTTATTTATTTATTTTTACAGCACATTAAAAACTACTGAAATTATCTTCAGATTAAACTTAAATAGATGAATTAATTCTGTGGGGAAATGAAAGACTTTCAGGTCAGGATTCCCTCAGTGATTCCAGCCTGCTGAGCTACTGGACAATCTGAAGCCATTCTATGGGACTGATAGCCGCTAATAACGACCATGCGTATTACTGAGCGTATGCTGGCCTGACGCCGTATGCTGAGCTGACAGAACACCGGCAGAACCGACCAGAACCCCAACTGGATGATCCAGATCTAACTGGTTCCATCAGGATAAAAACTCTTCAGTGTTTTTCCGTCTCTCTGAGGCGACTGTCTGGAAAATAAACCGTTTATAATAAATAGGTTCAATAAAGAGGTCAGATTTCTATCAGGAAACATAAAAAAAAGCATTTATAATTTATTTATTTTTTTTACACTGTAAAAAAATCGAAATCAAGATAATCATTTTTTTCTTAAAATAATGCATTTGTTCTTGCATGGAGGAAATAAAAGAGACATTTTGGCAACGGAACAAAACAATTTACATTTAAAATACCGTATTTTCACGACCATAAGGCGCACCGGACTAAAAGGCGCACTCTCAGTTATGTGTGCCATTTCTGTATTTAACACACACATAAGGCGCACCGGACTATAGGGCGTGTTTTTTATATACAGGTACATGTCCTCTCAGGTGGATTTTCTCACTTAAAAACATATTAAAACTACTTTATTCCCACTGATCACAGCAAATAAAGCTGCAAGGTGTATTTATTACAAAGTATTATTAAAACCTGGGAACCTGCCGTGAGAGACACATCGCTGATGACACAGGGCTGTGATTACTCCTCTGATACAGTTTATTGACGCATAAATTAACTTAAAAAATAGGCAGGATAATAATCTGGATGAACTGACTGCAATGATTAAATTTTCCGGTGGGCTTTCTCACTTAAAAAGATTTAGATTATTTAGATGAAAAAACACCTGCTGATGTGAGCCCGGATGCGCTGCGGCCCAGAGGCGGCTGTTGAATTAAGTTTTTTAGGTAGAAAAATAGAGCGGGAGCAAAACTGAGTATGATTGTGCTTTATTCATGTATTTATTACAAAGTATTAATCAAACCCATCAAAGTCCTCATCCTCTGTTTCGGAATTAAACAGCTGCGCTAAATCCGACATGCCAGTTTCCCCTTCTTCTTCGCTGTCAGAGTCACTTTCCGTGCCGGGCGGCTCCTTGGAAATGATGCCGGCTTTTGCAAAAGCTCGAACAACAGTCCCAGCAGAAACGTTAGTCCAAGCATCTACAATCCATCCGCAAACGGTGGCGTAACTTGCCCGCCGCTGCCTTCCACTTTTAGTGAAACTGTGCTCTCCGTCTGTCATCCATCGCTCCCACGCCGCTCGCAGCCTTACTTTGAACGGGCGGTTCACACCGATGTCGAGCGGTGGAAGCTCCTTTGTCAGACCTCCCGGAATAACAGCAAGCACAGCGTTCATTTCTTTGACCTTTTTTTTCACATCGGCTGTGAGATGGGCACGCATGGAATCACAAATTAACAGAGATGGAGATGCGTGGAAAAAACCACCTGGTCTCCTTACATACACCTCCCTCAGCCACTCTTTCATCATCCCCTCGTCCATCCAGCCTTTTTCATTTGCCTTAATAACGACTCCAGCTGGAAAAGTCTCTTTAGGCAAAGTCTTTCTTTTAAAAATCACCATAGGCAGCAGTTTCTGTCCATTTGCGTGGCAGCCAAGCACAACAGTAAACGACGCCTTTTCATACCCCGTTGTGTGTATCGCTACAGTGCTGGTCCCTTTCTTCTCCACCGTGTGATTCACCGGGATGTCGAAAGTGAGCGGCACCTCGTCCATGTTGGTGATGTGGCTTGGCTGGATGACTTTGTCAGCGATGTGTTTGCTGCAGAAGGAGTGGAAGCTCGCCAGCTTTTCATCATAATCCGCCGGACGTCGCTGAGCAACTGTAGTCCTGGTCCGGATGGAAAAATTGCACCGTTTCATAAAACGGAAGCACCACGATGGACCTCCTTGAAAATTTTCAATTTTCATTTCTTCCGCCAGCTTTACTGCTTTTAGTCGAACAGTGACCGTTGAAACGCTGGCCCCACTCGTTCTTTGCTCCACGATCCACCGCTCGAGTCTTTCCTCCAACTCGGGCCACCTCGCCTTATGTCCGCGGAAACTCAGCTGCGTCTTCTTCACCAGTCGGAGTTCGTTTTCCAGCTTCCTCCACTTGCGAACCATCGATTCATTTATATTGAATTCTCTCGCAGCTGCTCGATTTCCATGTTCCTCTGCGTAGCTGATAGCCTTCAGTTTAAACTGGGCTTCATAGGCGTGTCTCTTTGCCATTTCCAGGGTTGTTAAGACAACAATGTTCTGCATACAGCACATACCTGTTCTTTTATACACAAGCCACGCCCACACTTCCCCCTTTAAGGTTCTCACATACTCATGGTGGTCTCAACAACGTCCGCAGATAGGGCGCACCGCACCATAGGGCGCACCCCACATTTTGAGGAAAAAAAAAGACGTTTAGGTGCGCCTTATAGTCGTGAAAATACGGTAAGAACACAGTTGCATTTTCTTATTTCAAATGCATATTATCTAATTATCTTTAAGTTTTAAGAGTAAAAATATTAATTCCATTGTCAAACTATCTAATTTACCTGCTCAAATTAATGGTAAATACACTTAATTTAAATTTTTTTCTTATTTCTAGATAATTTTTCCAGTGAAAATTTGTCAAAAGAAGAAAAAAAGTAGAAATACAACTTTAGAGAATTCAGTCATTTTTAGCACATTTGATTCTAATTAATCATTTAGACGAGAAATCTAAATTCTCATCATGAATCAAACTTGATCAAGGCTGCAGCAAAGGATTATTTTGCAAATTGATTAATCTGTTGATTTTTTTTTCAATTAATCAATTAATAATCGGATAGCTAAAGAAGATTTTTTACAAAACTAAACAAAAACTTTTCCACTTGAGAAGTTCTGGATAGAGCAGATTAACAGATTTTTTTAAATCATAAATTCTAAATATTAATATATTTTTTACAATCCTGGTATAATTCCTGCTCTAAGCGAGTCGCTCTGTCAGCTGAAGCAGGTTTTACCGTCTCTATAATCCAGTTAACGATTAATTGATTATTAAATTAGTTGATGATTATTTCAATAATCGATAATCTCCCCAGATTAGAGCAGATTAAAGGCCTGGTTATCCTCCACCAGCAGCGTGTCGCAGATATTTTTGATTTCTACCCAACCGTGGTCTGCGCTGTTATTCCACGCCACAACGCCAGAGGGCCAATCAGGAACTAGCTGTGGGTCTAGATACGGCCGAGGCGGCGAGGAAGGGGGGGACTTTTATGCGACAACGGAGGGACATGAGGGCCAAAAGGAGCGGGGATCCAGGAGGGAAAAGGTTTCCAGCGTTCTCGCGCTCCTCGCTCTGCTAGCTGCTCCATCTTCAGTCGTTTTCCAATATGGCGGTCAGACAAACAGAACAAGCCGGTAAGGAACCAAACAGGAAATACGAATAGAGTAGAGCGGATGGAGATCTGACCAATCAGAGGCCTCCTGTCTGCGGTCACCTATGATTTTAGAGAGTGTCTGCGGAAGGGGGCGGGGCATATCTGCGTTCACTGTGACACACGCAGACGGTTTCTGAGCGTAAAGCAGCCTTCAGACTGTGACCCTCAGCATCAGGAACCTTTCCTGGAGGAACTCTGAGGAAGCCGTTCTGACCTTGGTTCAGCAGCTCCATCTCCCCGTCTGCTCGTCTTTCCCATAATCCATAGCAGCGGGAGCCGCGGCTGCAGCGGATGGTGCCGTTCTCCTGCAGCTCTCCTCGCAGCTCATTGGTGGACACAGGCTCCGCCCCCTTTGGGCTTCTACTGAACGCACAGATTCTCTCCTCTCTGTCCTCCAGCTGCAAACCTGCAAACAGAGAAAGCTGCAGATCAGAAACACATCCATCAGCCAAAACATTATGACCACTGATGGCGCAGCTCTGAGCGTGGAGGCTTCATGGCTGCAGGTCAGTCTGGGTTCAACGCTGAGCAGGAAACAGCAGAACCAGCTGAAGTTTGACTGATGCTTCAACTTAAAGCCAATCAAGCATCAGCTTCAGTTCCTGGAACCTTTAAACCCAAAGAATCTGAGCAATCTGCCTCTAAGCTAAACCAAGATGGCCGACTATTGGCTCATCATGTGATGCCTGATCAGTAAACGCCTCGTTGGTTAAATTTGGAATTATTTATGGTTTTAATCAAAGGATAAACAGAAAGTCAGAAGCTTCTCCTGGTGGCTCCGCCTCTTTAGAGCTGAACTAAATCCAGCTGCAATAAACCAGCTTCAGACTAAACCAACTAAAACTTCCTTTAAAGCTTTAAATGCAAACAGCTCCTTTAAAATGTCCTTATTTTAAGATGAACATTTTATTTTCCTGAGCGACAGAATTCAACATTCCTCATTTATTAAAACTCAGCGAGAAGAAAGACGGTGATTCAGAGAACAAACGGCGCTGGGAGGGTCGGGGTCTCAGGAAGCCGTCCTCGCCGCCGCTGGGAGCCGGCAGAGCCTCCATGTTTAGTCTGCTGGGAGTCACAATGACTCGGCTGGAGGGTTTTATCAGAACCATCAGAACAACAACTGGACCGACTCAGACGGAGCGACGGGAGGCAGGAGCCCACAGGAAGTGAGGCGGAGCGCCTTCATCAGGAGCCCACAGGAAGTGAACAAACACCTCAGGAATGTTGGCCTGGAAAAAACCAGCCATCCTGCAGGCATCAGTCTGTTATGGACCCTGGTTCTAAAAGTTCTGGTTTCAGAACCAGCAGGCAAAGCAGCAGGAGCCCACTGGGCTGACTGGGACCAGTCAGCTGCTGAAGTCCTGAGAAAAACTCCTCATCTCATCTTTACTGGTTCTGATTCACAAAACGAACAGAAAATGAACCGAATCCTGAAACTATTGGTTCCAATCGGATCAGAACCTGAAAAAATGACCTAAACCTGCTCCTCATCCTCACCATGAAGACCCAGAAATGCTCTCAGTGACCCGTTAGAACCTCAGTGGATCAATAATCATTCACCACCAGAACCTCTGAGCCGATTAGAACTGCTGCAGAACTCAGAACCGATCCTGAGGGTTTAAACGGACCCAGAGGATCAGATCCAGAACCAGGATGATCCAACAGAACCAGGCAGGAGGAAGAAACCAGTTTAACTCTGCTGGTTTCTCTGGTTAGAACCCAGCAGGCTGGATGGGAGGATGATGGCGTGAGCTTCATACTGACCTCTGACCCCCGCCAGCAGCAGGACAAACACTGTGGCAGCCATGTTGGATGGCTGCAGACGCCACATCACTGATCCTGGATCAGATCAGCCTGGAGGAACCAGCAGAACCGTCTCATCTCTGCTGACCCTGAAACACAGAGAAGCTCGATTCAAAGACAGGAAGAGCCGCGGCCAGGGGGAGGGACTGAGGGGCCCGGGGCCCCCAGCAGACGGCCCCGCCTCCATCAGAGACGCACCGATCCAGTTTCCTCTGATCCGATCCGATACCGGGGCCGATCGTATCGCTGATATCCGATATGATCTCACCATGAGAGCGACGGCTTTGGCCTCCACAGAAACTTTGTTAAAAAGGCTTCAAATGAACACAGATAGAAACTTTATTTATTTTATTTATTAAGGAATAAACAGCAATAATAAAGAAATAAAATGATTGGATCTCTGATATCGGAGCCGATATGTGATCCGGGGATCGGATCGCTGCATCTCTGCTCTGGATCAACTTTATTTCCAGTAGAACTCAAAGTTTTGGATCAATAGAATCAGAATAAAACCAGTTTAAATGTTTCTATTATCAGCTGATCTTTATTTTATTTAAAGTAACACCGACAGAAACAGACCAATAGTTGGTGGAACTGGTCCTGCATCTGTTCTCAGCATCGCTTTAATTAAACTGAGCTGCTGATTAATAAATAAACCAGATTTGATTTATTTTAATGTTTCTCCTTCAGCTTTAGATCAGAGCGACGAATGAAGCTTCATCTGATTTCCTTCTGTCCATTTTATCCAAACTTCAGACTCGTTTCTGGGTTTTTAGCGGCCATCTTGGAGTTCCAGGGTCCACCATCGACCGTCTGTCCTTCTGTCTGTGTTTCATTCTTCTGGAAACTTCTTCACCTCAACCTGCTGATCTGTAGCTTAATACGATCACAACATTTAAAAATAAAATCTCTCAGTGACGCAAAGTTTGCTCACATGTTATAAACCTCAGAGGAGGACCTCACTTCTTTACCTTTTCATTGAGCAACAAACACAATAATTCATCTTTATTTATGTTTATTTTAGCTCTTTTGTTTGAACATGAAAAAGTTAAGATGTATTTTGTGTGAATGACTTCCTGTAACATCTAGATAAACAAATAAAGAAAAACAGAAACATCTTTTAGGATCTTTGGAGCAACAGGAGATCCTGAAGCTTTTAACATTCAGAGAAACTCTGAGAAAAATTAGAATAAAATAAAACATTTCATTTTCCTTCAGGATCAATAAACTTAATCTTTTTGTTAAATTAAATCTGAATTCTGTCTGTTTTAATCTCATGAGCAGTGAGTAGTTTAGAGCCGTAGTTTGAAATCTGCTGATTTTTCAGTGATTGTTCCTGATTCTGATGAGTTTAACCTGCAGTCAGTCGTTCCTGATTAAATCACTGAACTCAGAAAAAAACACCAGAAACTTTAAAAATGTTTTTGATTCTTATTTATTTCTAATGATGAATATTTAGTTTTTACTTATTTTGATTAAATCTATAAAATAGTTTAACATCTGATCTTTTATCGCTGATCTATCTTTAGGGATCTTTTCTCCATCAAACCCAAACATCTTCATCATCAGTTTTTCCTCCATTAGGACCATCATCATCATCATCACCCCCCCAGTGTGCTTCCGGTGGGATGAAGGATGCTGCATCACCTGATCAGCGCCTCTTCAGGTGGATCTGATGAAGGGAGTGGTCCACTCCACACGCGCTCACGGTCACCCACGGACACGGACACGCGCAGCTTGGGTTGGTACCGGTGAGGAAGACTCCGCTCCCTCAGTCCGCAGGAGGAGATGAAGCCGCCTGCCTGCTGAACTCCGGTCCGGTTCAGTCCGGTCCGGTTTAGTCCGGTTCGGTTCTGTTTGGTTCGGTTCGGTCCGGTCCAGAGGCTCCAGCTGCTGGTTTCTGGATCAGGATCAGGGATGAAGCTGCGCTCCGGTTCTCTGCGGCTGAATCGCTCCGTCAAGCTGATGACATCACTTCCGGAAGACTTTATCAAAATAAAAGCCTCAGGAAATCAGCAGCCCTCCTATGACCATTAAAGATCTGATTTAGACATTCTGTTCTCTGGCAGCATTAATTACTCAGAAACACACTCAGGTTTAGTCAGGACTGTTTAATTTGTTTATTATTTAACTAAGAAAATAAGATAAATGTGAAAGTTATTCATTTTATTCTGTTATTCAGCTGAAAAACAGAATAAAAAACATTTCAGCACAAAATGAAACATCTTAAAAAGCTCCACCTGTTTCATTATCATTTGTCTCCTTAAGGTTATAAACCAAATAAAAGTTTCCTAATAACATAAAATATAATAACATATTTTACTTATTGATAATTATTCTAAACTCAAAAGGCGTGGCCTATATTACCTGCTGGATATCCAGCACTCATTGGAGGACAGGTGGAGTAACCCTACAGGACACTATTCTACCCTACAGGTCACCTACTGGTCCATCCTGACGGACACCAGTCCATCAAACTCTGAGAACTTCCAGATAAACTCCAGGACTGGATTTGAACCTGAGACCTTCTCATCACATTGCTGCCGTTCTTCTTATTGCTCCACACGTTCAAATAAGTTTAAAAACTGACGGATCTTCAGCAGATCAGACTTTAGCTTTGCTTTGTTAAAACTCCCAGCTGTGACCAACCAGCTGCTCTCTGCTCTGTGTTCTTTACCTCCCAGCTGGTTGCTGCATAAAGCTGCTAACATTGAGCCTGGTTCTGCTGGAGGTTTTTCTCTCCACTGTTACTGTATGCATCCTCGGTCTTCATGATCTGACTGAATTCCTCATAAAGTGCTTTGAATTATTTGGTGCTAAAATTAATAAATAAATACAATGAGTGTTTCACAGTTACAAGCTGCTGAAGCTAAAGTAGTGATCTGTTATAGAAGTATAGAGATAAAAAGTAAAGATAGAACCATAATGTCTGTACTGAGTTTTATTTTGAAAGCCTCAGGAATGTCCTTCCTGTGATGATGTCAGCAGCAGAGACTCCTCTTCTGAGGTGGAAGCTGCTGATGATCCAGATGCTGCTGCTCTGCTCAGACCTTAGAGCTGATCGACGTTTAAATGAGGAAGGAGGCGTCTGGATCTCCTCTGAGGTCAAAGATGGAGGCTGGAGGTCATCCTGCTGGAGTGACAGCAGAGCCAGAGGTGGTGTCTGACAGCAGGATTAGAAAAGTAGCTTATGCCAGTCTGGAACTGATGTCAGATGAGCATACCCCATCAGTTTATCTCTTTAGTTTATTTCTTTATTTTATTTCTTTAGTTTTGAACGAAAAATAGACTTTAAACTACCTCAATGGGTGTGTATCTCTTTAGTCATGTACAAAAAAAACGATTTAATTAATTAGTTTTGGAGTTTTTTGAAGCGTATCTGAAGGCGATCTGACCTTAAATGGTATTTTTGTAAATTCCTAAAGGGAAATGGACCAGACTAACAGAAAAATGGCTACCGAGGTCCTAGTTGGGATCCTCTGTTTTAAGGGGGGAGGTGTTACGGCTGCAGTGGGTTTCTCCTCTTTCCCTGCAGGGTTCTGGAGGCAGATGTTCTGTTTTGCCCTAATTGGTGCTTGTCTGCTTTAAAAGCTGTCATGCAAGCAGCAGACAGGAGGCGTCTCCCTCTTAGCTCCTCAGAACCCATTTGGTTTGGTTTGGTTTGTTTGCATTAAGTCATTTTATTTATCCCCTTTTCAGGTTTTTGTTTCTTTGGTATAATTTAATAAATTCAATTTTCAGTTTAAAGAAAATCCTTGTGTGCTCTCCTTTAATGTTCCCCCCACCAAACAAGCCTGGTGGACGTAACAATTGAAAGCATTAAAAACAATTCTCTGCCTCCACCTCTTACTCAGTTAACCACCCTGATACCAAAACCCAACAAGGATTCTTTACTCCTCCATAATTGGAGGACTATTTGATGTCCTAATAACGAATATAAAATATTAGTCTAATATTAGTCATAGACTGAAATCAGTTCTTCAAGCATTTATTGACCAAAACCAATCATGATTTATGAAAAATCGGCATATTACGAATAACATAAGACTTGTGCTTGAATCAATTCACTTGACTTTATTTCCAAGTTTGAAGACGTTTCTCTTCCATCCAGGAAGATTTTTCAATTCAAAATGTCAGAAATAGCGTTTAGTTCCAGGTTTTATCCAGCAGCCCAACAAAGCCTGGTTTTAGTTTAGAAAACGTCCAAATAGAAACGGATGAACGGGTCCATCCCTTTGGAATGGGGGTCGTTTGGCCTCTGTCTCTGAAAGGGGGGGGTCGTTAATCAGAACAGGAACAGGCGGGCTCAGAGGTTGAGAGGCCACCAGGAAATGAGAAACACTAAGATACGCCTAAAACCCTCTCGCCACAGGCTGGAGAGAAATACTCTGGCCCTGATGACTGGGAGCAAGCAGCTTAAATAGAGGCAGGAGCAGGTGGATCAGATGAGCAGTAAGTAATGGGGAACCGGGCAGAGTTAGACAGGTGAAATGAGTAATTAAATCAGTCATCAGCAACAAGATCATTGTCATGTCTCCTGGCTATTTAATACGCATCATTTATGAAGTGTTATTTAAAGACACAGAGCCAGTCTTTAACATGTTTACTTAATTGAACTTAAGCAATATTTTTGTACTATTTGATCCTCCACTCACAAAAAGGAAAAAAACCTTATCAATCTGTTTCCAACTTAAAATTCTGGACAACTTCATGTTGTTGAAGATATGCTGAGTAGAATATAAATATATATCTTAGACTCTTCAGAATAAAAGCTGAAATCAAAGGCATCCATGGAGCTGCTTGGTGAATCCTTTGGTTGCTGCCAAAGCAGGAAGTGATGCTAATAGCAGCTCTGCTAACAGGATTGTTATAATAAGGTGATTGAAGCACCGCTAGCTGCATTAGCTAACCTGCTAAGGTTTAATTCTTGCTAACCAAACCCCACTGCTGCATCACAGCAACATAGAATAGATCAGCAACCATTGCTGCCATGCTGATCATAAACCACAACCTTGCTGCAGAAAATGGCTGCATGATCTAAACAGAGAATAAAATGTGGAGTTAACTGCATCCCTGCAAGACCCTGAAAAGAAGCTGGAGTGAAGGGGGTCAGAGGAGGTTCAGGAGCAACAAGTTACTCTGAATGAAGAACAGAAAACAGACAAAGATGTTTTTTCTTCATGGCTTCAGCAGGAGGAGATCCTGAGTTTCTTCATTTCAACTGTTCTGGTGAAAAGATCAACATTAAAACCAGAGTTTGAGTTTTATTTGGTTTTTGCCTCATTTCCATCTCCACCAAGGAGCCGATCAGAGACCAACCAATGATCTGACAAGTTCAACAGACTTTAGAGATAAACTCTGATGGTTCAGACAGAACTGGAGCTCTGATCCTCAAAGAAGAGCAACAAGATTCAAAGATCAACCTCAGGTTCATCTGGAGATGTTCTGTCCTGAAAACTTCCCATCATGCAGCAGGTTTTAATCAGAGCAGATTCCTTCCTGTCAGTCAACCGTTTCACAAATATCCTTCACAGCTCCTCGTTCCAACATCCAGCCTGAGAGATTCACTCAGAAACGAAACGTTTGTGTCACAGAGAGCAGCTTCAGAGTCAGAGATCAGGTGGAAACCTTTAGATGATGAAGCTGCTGGTTGAAACACGAGGTCTGACTTTAAACAGCTTCAGGAAGCTGATCTCACTCCACTTTGATCCGGTTCTGGATCATCAGCTCGGCTCTGATGACGTTCAGGTAAAAATAGCTCCTGGATGATCTGAGCTCAGTCTGGGAAAAACCTCTGATGTTTTCTAGAAGCTGCAGGAAGTCAGGAATGAACCTTTAAAGGTTGAACAGCTGCTTCACTGAGGATCTGCAGCAGAAATCAAGAAGTTCACTGATAATTCTCCATCATGTGAGACTGAAGCTGATCTCAGCTCTGAACTCTGCAGGAGTTTCATCTGACTGATGATGCTTCATCTGAATTTCTCTGCTGCTGCCAGAAGAAAACAGGAAAACTGAAACAAACATTTAGTTTCATCATCAAACATCAGGAGAACATGCAGCAGAAAGTCCATCAGACCTGAGATCATCTGCAGCTTGTTTTCACACATGAAGATGCTGAAGATGAAGCAGCTCTGGCTCCGCCCCCCTCAGAGGTTGGAATGAAAAAGTAGTTAAAGATCCAGTAGTGATGTGATGAGCCGAGGCGTGTTTCTGCAAAGCGCGTATGGAGGCTTGCTTCATTTAGGACGTCCGAAGCCTCACCCCCCCCCCCCCATACCATGTGACCTCCTCAGGAAGTGGTTACGCTCGCCTGGAACTTCAACAGGCATTTAAACAGTATCAAGTCAAGATGATGGAGTTTGGAGGAGAGCTGCGGTCAGTTGGATAGAGTTTGGATAGATTCTAAGAATAGATTGCTTGGAAAAACAACTAATCTAGTTGGTTAAAACTAGTTTGAAACTGAGCAATTCTCTGGTTACAGTGATATTAGTATTTAGTACTATTGCTTTCTAGGAAATATTTACTATTGCATGTGAGGTCAGCTTTAAGACTTCAGTCCACTAGCTGTTGGTTGAAGACCTGGTTTCAGCTTTTCAAAGTTCCTGTACTACCTAACCAGGATTTTGGCCAAAGTGATTGTTTTGGTTTGCCCTTTAACCCATATAGAAAAACAAATTAGATTGGTCGGTTTAACCAAATGATTGGTTGGACACATAACTTTCAACCAGATGAAAACCAAAAACCCTGGAAAAAAGATTATGTTTGAATAAAATGACTAACGCTTTTCATTTTGCTCATCATTGCCTGATTTTATCGTCTACTTGAGCTTTTTACACTAAAATGACAGAAAAACTGTCTACTTTAAAATATTAAAAGATTTTAGGCACACAAAAAAACTAACAAAACATTTTATTATACAAAACAATCATGAACAATTTCAAAGGAAGTTAAATGGAAAAAAATACTGTTGGGATCGTTGAAGCAATTTGGTCAAATGGTTCAATGCGGCTTCATCTCACCATCACTAGTTTGTGATGAAGCATCAGAGGAACCTGATAAACCAGCAGCAGGAGGAGAACTTCAGTCCTCTGAGCAGCTCCTGTTCTTCACTCCAACAAGCAGCAGGACTCCTCCTCCTCCTCCTCCTCCTCCTCCTCCTCCTCCTCCTCCTCCTCCTCCTCCTCCTCCTCCTCCTCTCCTCCTCTCCTCTCAGTCACAGCAGGAGGTCCTCAGAGGATGATGAAGGTCTCTGTTCAGGATGAACTGTTCTCCTGGTTAAGGGCGCCCTCTAGTGGTTGATGGCAGCACTGCTTTATCTACCAGAGGAGTTAAAAAGCTTCACAGCTGCATGTTGACTCTGAGCTTCCAGGTAGAGCCCTGCACTCTGCTAACCTGACAACAGCCAGATGCATGTCTCGCTCCGCCCAGCTCCACTCACATACATCTGGGAACCCGCTCATTGAAAGTGATTTCCCCAACCGAATTAAAGGACTGTCCAATCAGGGGCAGGGCGGGTGTGTCCTGGAGTGGAAAGCGCCGTGAGATTCCAACAATGGCGGCTCGC